ATGGGGCGGGGCTTGTTGCATGTGCCTACCCCCTGGGCTCCTTACTGCCGGAGCTCTGCTCCTGTGTGCTCCCGCAGGAATTTACCCCTGCTCTTTTCTCTAGACATTCTGAACACTTTACATACCTGGAGGGTTTTGTTTACTTTTAAAAACTTGATTCCAAATGTATACCTTTATGTTTTCCGTTTGTTCAAAATGGCTTACCGATTTCAACAAGGTTAAAAATATATCATCACATGGAAATATTGATTTAAAAAAAAAGACCAATCCACATCTACATAATGTTCTTTTTCATCTAATCAGGAATGAACACAGTTATGCCACCTCATAGCTGGTGGGGGGAACTTACCCCCCCAAAGAGGAAGGCCCATAGAACTGTAGAATCATACAGTTGGAAGGGAACTCCATGGTCATATAGTCCAACCCCTTCACAATGCAGGAAATTCACAAATACCTCCCCCCATACCCCAAATGACCCCTGTTTCATGCTCAGAAGTTGACAAAAAAAAACCCTCCAGGATCTCCAGCCAAACTGGCCTGGAGAAAAATTGCTTCCTAACCCCCATAGTGGCAATCAGCATTTCCCTGGGCGTGTAAGAAAGGACCACAAGAACTAAACAGCCTACGTGCAGTGATGTGTCTACATCACTGCCCACGTGACCCAGAAGTGACATCATCTCCTTAGAGACATCTTGGTGACACTCTGGTGTTTGGGCAAAAACTCTGTGGTAGAAGCCAAATTTACCAGAGTTTTTGCCCAAATCCCAGAGCGTTGCGACGTGATGATTTCACTTCCGGGTCATAGTTGAGCAGTGGAACAGTCTGCCTCGGGAGGTGGTGGATGCTCCTTTGCTGGATGTTTGCAAGCGGAGGCTGGACGACCATCTTTCGGGTATGTTGTAGGGCTATCTTTCAGCTATGCTCCTGCAGAGTGCAGGGGGTTGGACTAGATGACCTGCAAGATCCCTTCCAACTCTAACATTCCATGATTCTATGACATAGGTATGTTGCTGCAACTTCATCAGGGCCTCCTTCCTGCTCCTGGTACGTCCCCCACCCCACCACTCACCGGTTGCCAGGAGGAACCTGGCAACACAAAGGGAAGGCACGTGTGCCTATACTAGCCTATACTGTGGCTAGGAAAAACGGCTGGTGTCAGTGTACCGGGAGGTGGAGCAGTAGCCAGGGCTCATGGTGGGGCCTGCTGATGCGGACTCCTTGCTCACGCATTGCCTCTGATGCTTGCATTTACACCCTTCCCCTGCCTGCAAATAAGTGCTCTGTCACCTCTGCTCCCAGAGGCATATGCTGTGCCCAGCACTGCTGGAGAACGACATGTGGGTGGTACCATGGCACCCAGCCCCATCAGAGGAAGGGCTTATAGGCAGTGCGGGCAAGCTCTGACGGCAGATGGTGGGAGAGCTTATGAATGGGCAGAGGAAGGATGGATAGGCAGGGGAGGGCAAGTGGGTGGGTGGGCAAAAGAGGGGGTCTAGTAGTGGTATGGGGGGTCCTGGCCTAGGTACTCTCTGCCCAGGGCCCCCCGAAACCTGGAACGGGCCCTGTTGGGAATGTCCGTTGACATGTGTGTGTATCTGAGTCTGATTATGTCTAACACAGATCATACAGACATCCACAATTAGGTGCACCTTCTTTTGAGTGCTCAGTCTCTGGCCCTCTTCCTACACCCCCACAACGAATAGCTAGCACAGACGTTTTTCCATACCTGTGCCAGTCTTCCCTCTGGGACCCAATCAGGTAGAGCTGGACATGAGAAGAGGTTCCAGAAATGGCTGATTCCAGGTTTTGGAATCATATGCCTCCATATGCCCACCACCAGGGCCCCCTCATGGCCCTTCTTTCCACCCCTACACCTGTGTGTCCCCCCTGCCCATGTGTCCCCCCTCCCACTTGCAAGCTCTTCCATCCTCCATGCTCAGATGCCTTTGCCACCTGCACACCCATTCCCCGGCCGCACTGGCCAGTCTAGGGTCGCCAGGTCCCCCCGGCTACTGGTGAGAGATGAGCTCAGTACTCCCTCTGGAGTCTTGTGAGCAGAAATTCCACTCTGTGAGCGACTGGCACGAAAGTTGTGAGGGAGCGATTTGGCTGCTGCATAGCTTGCTCTGGAGCCGTCCTTCCTGAGCTAAGACAAAAATGTGTGAGCCGGAGGCTAAAAAAACTGTGAGCTAGCTCACACTAACTCAGCTTAGAGGGAACACTGGATAGGGTTGCTAGATCCAGGCTGGGGGTGGAGCCTGTGGAGGACAGGGACCTGAGTGGGGCACAAGGCCACAGACTCCACCCTCCAAACTATCCATTTTCTCCCGGGGAACTGATCCATCTCATCTGGAGTTGTAATTCCGGGGGTTCCCCAGTGTAGTGTATCCAGCCCTGACAGGGCCAATAGGCCTCTCGGTTACTGTAAATAGCCTATCGGGAAGTGGGGGTGTGTTATGGTGGTGGGTTCTGAGGAAATATAAGCCGGCCTGCGAGCCGGCCAAGGTGTCTTGTTCCTGACTGAATATGCTTAGCTGAATCACTCTCCGCCTGCATACTTTTCACCCGGGTGCCCCCGGAGGCTGGCATCCCAAGTGTATGCAGCTGGGAGTGTTGCCGCCATTGACGCCAGCAGTGCCACCACTGTGCACCCTCCACTTGCCTTTCCTTAATGACTCTAGCCAGTTGGGACCATGGGGACAGAGGTGGGGTTGGAGGTGCACAAGTGGGAATCTGCAGCAGGGGCCCCCACTAGGAGTCCCGGGCCCGGGCAGCTGCCCCACCTTGGGGTATGCTGACGTTGGCCCTGGTTCCAGATCATTGTTTGTAGCAGCTGAACAACAAGGAAGAGCCCTATTGGATAACCGTGTCATCCTTTGCAGACAGATCTAGTTCAAAGCATTAATGGAATGTTGATACATTGCTGTTTTAAATTAAGGCATGAATTTAAACATGTTCCTGTGTTGTTGTTTTTTAAAAAGTTATTGACATCAAGATCTGCAGGATGGCGTGTCGTTTTATTGACGGGTGGCTTTTGCACGTGTTGTGTGTGTGGAAATATTCTCTCTTGTTCTTACCAAAGTACGTACGGCAATACTGTAACTGAAAATTTAAAAGTGAAGTCATATTAAAATTTCATATGATTACTTCGGAGCCTCCAGGCAGCTCAGTCTTGTGGTTTTGGTTATTAAGCCACAATAACCTGTGTTGTTGTTTTTTAAAAAATCAGTTTCTGTGCTTGTTCAAAGCAGAGTGGTAACAAGGGCAAGGCAAGCGAGGCACTCGCCTCGGGCGCGTGAAGCTGCAGAAAAAGTAGATTGTGACAAAAATAAACATGGCATTATTATTACTCTTGTTGCATTTAGCTTTATACCAAAACAACTACTATGAAAGTGGGAGGGACGGGCACCAGAAAAAGGTGTCAGCTGGTGCCATGGTGCCGATGGGCACCAACTTGGGCACTCCTGCTCTACAGGCAGGTATTCCCCTTGCTAATTTCACCGCAGAAAATTTCCTACAGGAGCATCTTCATATTGGCTCCAGCATCTCAAGTCCTGAGTGTCAGGATGAAGTTTATCAGCTGGAAGCTATCCTTCAGGAAGAGCTACCTGATGGGTGTCTAGCCGATACTCGAGTAAAGGTAAAGGTTCCCTTGCTCGAAAGCCAGTCGAGTCCGACTCTAGGGTTGCGGTGCTCATCTCCGTTTCAAAGCCGAAGAGCCAGCGCTGTCTGAAGACGTTTCCGTGGTCATGTGGCCGGCATGACTAAACACCAAGGCACACGGAACGCTGTTCCCTTCCCACCGAAGTGGTACCTATTTATCTACTTGCAATTTCTTGCTTTCAAACTGCTAGGTTGGCAGGAGCTGGAACTAGAGATGGGAGCTCACTCCATCATGCGGCACCCAGGTCTCGAACTGCTGAACTACTGACCTTCCACAGCCTGCAGTTCAGCGTCTTAACCACTTGACCCACCGCAGCTCCCAATACTCGAGTAGCCAGTATTAATTGGTAGGCCAGTTTCCAGTGGAAGTAATGCATGTTGTAAGTCTTCACTCTCCATCCTGGAGTGGGTTGAGAGAATCTTAGGAGAAAGGCAGACTCGCACAGGAATGCTGAGCAACGAAGAATGGGTCTCATCTCTTGAACAACCAGGGAGGGCAGGAGTCAGTCTAGAAGAAGGCGGACAGGTGGGAAGCAATTGTGGGTCTTTAATGGTTGCTGTGTACATTACATTTTTAGACGTATTCCAAAGATGTTTCAAGTAGGCATCGAAAATGGGAATATGTAAATGCAAACAAAACAAAACAAAACCACGCCCCCAAACAATCCATATATCAGCCAACACAAGTATCATATAGCTATAGCCATCAGGGAACCCTGACTGGCAGCAGTTTCATGTCAGATTTATATTTCTTGGGGCACAATGTGGTAAACGGCTCTTGAATTCAGCCCAGAGACATCTTCTTAGCGACAGACCATCTCAGCTATGCCCTGGGGCGGGGAGGGGCCTTAGCTCAGAGGTAGAGCATCTGCTTGGCAGGCAGGACTTCCCAGGAATCTCTGGTTAAAAGGATCTTGCAGTGGGTGATGTGGAAGACCTCTACAGAGGCATGATATCCAAATCGCAAGATGTCATAATCCCACTGTACGCTGCATTGATCAGGCCACACCTGGAGTATTGTGTGCAATTCTGGGGGCCTCACTTCAAAAAGGATGTGGATGGAACGGAACGGGTGCAGAGGAGAGTGACAAGGTTGATTGGGGGCCTGGAGAACAAGCCCTGTGAGGAAAGGCTGAGGGACTTGGGGATGTTCAGTCTGGAGAAGAGGAGGCTGAGGGGGGACAGGATGGCTCTCTTGAAGTATTTACTTAGAGGAGGGCAGGGAGCTGTTCCTGTTGGCAGAAGATGAGAGGACTCACAATCATGGGTTTAAATTAAGGGCAGGAAGGTACCTGGAAATGAGGAAAAACGATTTTACAGTAAGAGTTACACAACAATGGAATCAGCTGCCTCAGGAGGTGCTGAGCCTCCCCCTCCCTAGCAGTCCTTAAACAGCGGCTGGACAAACCCTTGTCAGGGATGCTCTGGGCTGATCCCACATTGAGCAGGAGGTTGGACTAGATGGCCTGTATGGCCCCTTCCAACTCTGTGATTCTGTGATTCTATTCTACCTTGAGACCCTAGCGAGCTGCTGCCAGTCTGAATGGACAATACCTCCTGACTACCAACGGAGTATGGGGGGGACTTATGAGGAGAAGGCCTAGGCCTTGTTGCTCTGGTATTTGGGCAAAAACTATATGGTAAAACTGGCTTCTACTATAGAGTTTTTGCTCAAGTACCAGAGTGTCACCCAGACATTGCTGGCATGATGACATCACTTCCAGTGCAATGTCAACGACGCGACCTAGGCCTTTCTCCTTTCTCCCCCCACTGGCCTGCTGACTGGGGGCTGGGGGCAGGGCCTGGCAGCAGGAGTCTGGCAAACCTTTGAGTCACAGATTATCCACACAGCATGCAGTTGGGCCCTTACATACATACTGTATTTAAGAGCATCAGTAGGGTTGCCAGCTCTGGGCTGGGAAATACCTGCAGATTTTGGGGGTGGGCTTCAGGAAGGGAAGGGACCCCAGTGGGGTATAATGCCATTGAGTCCACTCACCAAGGCAGTAATTTTCTCCAGGTGAACTGATCTCTGTTGCCTGGAGATCCATTGTAATCCCGGGAGACCTCCAGCCACCACCTGGAGGTTGGCAAGCCTAAGCATCAAGTGTTTAACAGAAATAACCACAGACTGCCTCCCTCAGAATGCCAAGTGATGATTATTCCTCAGAAACACCCATACATTTTTGGTTTGAAATGAGGTTAAAAAAAAAAAAGGCAAACTCCACTGTTAAATAACCTTGTGTTCGGGACAGTTTCTCCCTTGAGCCACCTAGGCATTTTTATCTCACGATCTTCCTCGTCTAAGGTGCTCCGAATAGCCTACCTGGTTCTTTCCTCACAACAGCCCCGTGAGGTAAGTTAGACGAAGAGACTGGCCCCAAGCTTACCTGTTGAGCTTTGTGACTGAGTGGGGATTTGAATTGAGGTCTCCCTGGACATAATTTGACATTCCAGCCCCTACACCACGTTAAATAACCTTGTGTTCGGGACAGTTTATCCCTTGAGCTACCTAGGCATTTTTATCTCACACTCTTCCTCTAAGGAGCTCCGAATAGCCTACCTGGTTCTTTCCACACAACAGCCCCGTGAGGTAAGTTAGGCGTAGAGACTGGCCCCAAGCTTACCTGTTGAGCTTTGTGACTGAGTGGGGATTTGAATTGAGGTCTCCCTGGACATAATTTGACATTCCAGCCCCTACACCACAACGACTTTCTTTTAATCTTTGATAAGTCCTAGATGCTCCCGTGATCCATACACAATAGTCTGAATACAGTGTGAAGGTGGTGGTTTTCTCTACATGGAGGTCTCTTTGTCTGCCTCTGAAGCGTCTGCCACAGAATACGCCCCGTTCGGCTTTGCATCTTCATTCAAGGTGCCTTCTTTCTGTTCATTGCCGGTGCCTGCAGCCTCTTTCCTGCCAAAATGTTTCTTCACAAGCCAGTAAAACAACACTCCCAGCAGATAGGACGGTCCTCTTAAGCCAAAAACTAGACCCAGAAAAGCATATCTGTATAAAAGAAGAGAGTCCGCACAAAAACATTCCATGTAAAATCAGTTTCCTTGTGGATTCTCTCAAGAAAGCTAGAATTGTCTTTGTCAGGTAAAGCTCTCTTTACATGGTACAATCAGGCCTGATCCATATATTATACAGCAGACATGGGCAGTTGTTTCAGTCCAAGGGTTAAGGTTGTTTCTCCATTCACTTTTAATTCTCCAATGTGGACATGAGACCTTCCCATTTGAAAGCAAGATGTGCCTACACAGGTCAGTTGCTTTCTGTGCAGAAGGTCCCAGGTTCAATCCTCAGCATCTCCAGTTAAAAAGGATCAGGTAGTCTGATCTGTATAGTCCAGGCTAGCCTGATCTCATCAGATCTTGGAAGCTAAGCAGGGTCGGCTGTGGCTAGTACTTGGATGGGTGACCTCCAAGGAATACCATGGCCGTGACGCAGAGGCAGGCAACAGTAAACCACCTAAAAATAATTCTAGCTTGCCACCTAGTGGTGCACAATGCTAAATAGCTAGAACTTCTAGATGCCAGACAATCTTAGGATCTCCTGGCTATAGTACATACAATTCCAGATGATGATGATGATTTGGAAGCAACAGTGGTAGTTCTAGGAATCACTGGGAATCCTGTGGTAAAATCATAGAGTTTGGAGCAATTCCTAGAGCTACTGCTGTCACTTCCAGGTTTCCCCAATAAGTGACATCATCATCATCAACAACAGGTAGTGGGTGTTATGAAAGATCTCTTCTTGAGACAATGAAGAGTTGCAGCCAGTCAGAGTAGGTAAGACTTATTGTAATGGATTCATGCCCTGACTCAGTTGGCTACTTCATGTGTTTATCTAACTTAGGCTGAATCTACATCTAGCATTTGCTCCTCTGTCTTACCAAACCCACACTGGAATAGAAATTCCCATCTGCATTGCATGCCACTTTCACTTTGATTGGTTGTCGAATTTTATGGCGGCGTCCAGACTATATGCCACTTTCACATAGTTTGATCTCTGGTTTTATGGTGGCACAAAACCCCATAGTTTAAATCTCTCTCTCCTTCTCTCTCTCTCATCCCAGGTCCAATCCTCAGCATCTCCAGTCAAAAAGGATCAGGTAGTCTGACCTGGATAGCCCAGGCTAGCCTGATCTCATCAGATCTCGAAAGCTAAGCAGGGTCGGCTGTGGCTAGTACTTGGGTGGGTGACCTCCAAGGAATACCATGGCCGTGACGCAGAGGCAGGCAACAGTAAACCACCTAAAAATAATTCTAGCTTGCCACCTAGTGGTGCACAATGCTAAATAGCTAGAACTTCTAGATGCCAGACAATCTTAGGATCTCCTGGCTATAGTACATACAATTCCAGATGATGATGATGATTTGGAAGCAACAGTGGTAGTTCTAGGAATCACTGGAAATCCTGTGGTAAAATCATAGAGTTTGGAGCAATTCCTAGAGCTACTGCTGTCACTTCCAGGTTTCCCCAATAAGTGACATCATCATCATCAACAACAGGTAGTGGGTGTTATGAAAGATCTCTTCTTGAGACAATGAAGAGTTGCAGCCAGTCAGAGTAGGTAAGACTTATTGTAATGGATTCAT